AGCTTTTAGGATCACATAGAACTATACAACTACATTAAAAAATCTTTTTTTTATTGGTTCGACGAGATAATACGAGTTGAAACAAGCAGATTTGTTATCATACTATTGCTGAACAGCAATGCAAAATCATTGTTGTTTTATCTGAACTTAGAAATGGCGTTTAATGCAAACATGATAATTATGACGAAGTAAAATTTTGAAGATTTTATAGTGTAGCAATATCATTAACTGCCATTTTTTCGACTTTTTCTGATCTCCGCTTAATTTGAAATGATAGATAGACATTGCGCATAAGAATCTCTGCATCTACACTATAGTTATCTATTAAAAGAAATGTTTCCTATTTCGATTATTTCTAATAAGAGGATGCCGCCTCGAATGTGTTAACAGTAGATAAAGATGAGNACGAAGTAAAATTTTGAAGATTTTATAGTGTAGCAATATCATTAACTGCCATTTTTTCGACTTTTTCTGATCTCCGCTTAATTTGAAATGATAGATAGACATTGCGCATAAGAATCTCTGCATCTACACTATAGTTATCTATTAAAAGAAATGTTTCCTATTTCGATTATTTCTAATAAGAGGATGCCGCCTCGAATGTGTTAACAGTAGATAAAGATGAGATATTATTTTTCTATTTACTAGATTTTGATCATACACATACGCTGAAGAAATAACACTTACGTTAAGTCCATGTCGAATATTAACGATGCGATCAATCAACTGAGTACGGCAACATCAATCACCGTACTTGTGTTATCTATTGTCAGTTTTGTACCAGGTGCAGTTGGGCTTATCTTAAATGTGTATGTTTTTACTCGTCCAACACTGCGTGGTGAACCATGTACACTCTACTTTTTGTCAGCAACATTTTTCAATTTATTTATTGAATTCATTGTGTTACCTGTGCGGATATTAACGAATGGTTTTAATATAGATCTGTCTTTCATCAATCTTGGAATATGTAAAATCGAATATTATAGTTTCTTTACAGTGCGAGCCATATCTTGTTGGTTGATTTCATTTGCATGTGTAGATCGCTATCTTCACAGTTCAGGAAACGCGCGCCTTCGTCACTTAAGTTCAATAAAAACAGCACGAGTGGTCATTGTAATCATTATCGTTGCAATGATGGTCTTGTATAGTCATATGCTTGCTTACTATGAAATAATCTATTCAGGTGATCAATATGGTAACGTTCTTTCATCATGCACTAGTCAAAAAGGATTCTACCGTACGTTCATAGCATTTTGGCATATGACTCTCTACTCACTTTGTCCATTTTTTCTCATGCTTTTATTTGGTTCTCTTACACTTAGAAATATTCGCCAGCATCGTCAAGTAGTCTCGACGACTAATGAAAACAATCGAATTCCTCAGCGTAGAAATACTCAACTCTTGCGCATGTTAGCTGCTCAAGTATTCGTCATCATAATCTTTATTTTACCATCCTCTATTCATCGACTCTATGTTGCGTTTACTGCAAATGTGAAAAAGAGCTCATTTCGACTTGCTCAAGAAGATTATGCTCGTGAAACACTAAATACTATGACATATTTTGCTCATACAGCTACCTTCTTTTTATATACATTAACTGGTACCATTTTTCGCAAGGAAGTTGTCAAACTCATCTATCGTTGCTTGCCTCACAATTAAAGTCTTATTCCTATGTCTAATTCAACAACAAATGAAATATGAGTTCTGCAGAAAAATCGACCAATCACTGCTGTGTATAAAATGATTCTAAATAACAATGAAAGTGTCACGCGAAAGACAAACATTTAATACTAAAAGAGTGTTTCATAATCTCATATATTCATTGTTAATATAATTATGAAATATTTATTATTTAATCTCAAATAAATATTGTCTGTTGTTTTGTAACGTCTCAACAATATCTACATGTCTGATCACAATAGAATAGTCTTTGAATAGAAAAATGCTGTGAATGTGTTATAACCAACTAATATAATGTTCATATTTCATCGAATTAGGCAGACGTACACATTCAAACAAAGAAAAAATATTTATAGAAATGAAAATATAGAAAAAAATTGTTCAAGCTTCTAAATACGACTAACTTTGTAATACATAAATGTCAGAAAGATTGATCCATGTATCGTGAAAAATTCGATTGCTCCACTGAAAACCCGATCGGTTACCATCTCCAGGATTGTACTTTCAAATATAGACAGTCTTCCAGCGACACGCCAACTACTACATATTTTATTTCAAGCTACTGTTCATCCTTCCGTTATATCAGATCAGTTTTGGCTTCTCCTATTCATGATTCCAATGGTTCTTTACATTTCTTACAAATTTTCTTCACTGTATGTACAGTGCATTTTCTTGGTTGTCATCGTTCATAGTTAGAAGAAAAAATCAGGATATGTTTTTTCAAACTTACTTCAATCTGCTAGTATAAATGCTTCCCATCTGTGAAACTATTTTTTCACAATATTTTCTATCAGATTGACGTTTGTTTTTTTATTCTACTTAACTTCTTAAGTTTTCACAAAAAATTATAAAGCAATTATTGGGGTGCAAGCGTGGTTGTCGGATGTGAGTGCTAATAGACTGAAAACTCTCACTCACACCCACACCCACACCCGTTAGTTATGTTACGCGAGCAAATATCATATTTGTGTTTAAAATTGAGTAACCAAGTATCGAGCACAGAAAATTCATTGAATGGCATCGATCTTGCTTGTTGATAGGCCCATCGTTTCAAATTAATGTCATGAACCGAATAAAGTAAATCTCTAGCCCACTCAAACTTGTCATAGACGAAATCGTCAACCGAGTCGACTTTCTGTTTTTTTGCTCCCTCTTGCTCGACGTATTTTCGGAAACGAGTCGTATAATATTGATACGGTATACGTCGAAAGTGACGTTTTACATTAGTTCATGTGTAGTTTTTTACCAGTTTTAGGATTCATAGCATGATAGAATTCAAGAGCCCGTTTCATATAAGAAAAACTGAAGCTCTCGAAAACTGTTGCTTCTGTATCTTCTTCTTCGTAGTCGGGATCTTGGAAAGGATCGTTNCCTCTTGCTCGACGTATTTTCGGAAACGAGTCGTATAATATTGATACGGTATACGTCGAAAGTGACGTTTTACATTAGTTCATGTGTAGTTTTTTACCAGTTTTAGGATTCATAGCATGATAGAATTCAAGAGCCCGTTTCATATAAGAAAAACTGAAGCTCTCGAAAACTGTTGCTTCTGTATCTTCTTCTTCGTAGTCGGGATCTTGGAAAGGATCGTTTGGATCCACTTCACATTCGTCGAGTTTCGAGTCAGGAGTCAAGTAGTCGAGTGTAGTTTGATACTCATGTGTGTACGAATCACTAGTTAAGATAGACTTCAGCATTTCCAACAAATGAGTAGCCACTTCCTCTTCATGAACAACCGTTGTGGAGAAAGATTTCGATAGTTGTTGAGATACTTTATCCATCAAAAGCTGCGTAATTCTACTCCAAGCGCTCATTCTGGTCAAATAACCACCAAGAAATCAGCTTTTTCTTTCACTCACTGATAAAAAAGAAATATGCGCATACACATACGTCTTCCCTTCTCTTCTCTTTTTTCGTTCTCACACGCCGGTACGTATTAAATCAAAAGACAGCAAAAAGATAAAGTTATTCTCATATCATTCAAGACCTATTCCAAATGACTCATATTGCTGTGATAGAAACAGTAAACACATACGTGCATTAATGGTAATGAAAATTGCACAGTTGCATCTAGGAGTGTTGAAATGAGCTCAAACTTTTACTGTGTTTAGTTGATGACTACCTCTTTATATGCTCAAAATATCAGCTTCATAAACACTTTCCTCTCGGCACAGACTCAAATGCAATAACAACAAATTTTCAAGAATTTTCAAAATTTTCGAAAAATATCGAAGCCATTGAATGATACAGCTCAAACTTTTAGCAAATCAGGACCACTATGACCACTGGTTACAATAAAAATATCACGTCTATCGGACGTTGCTCAAGTGAGAAATCAAAGATTCAGGGGCAGAATCGCGTTTTTCGATGAAAACTTGAAATAGTCATAGCTCCCTCAGAAAGCAAGAACCAACTTAGAATATTTCACTACTCACTATAATCTGCAAGATAAAAGTAGTCCGAGTTCAAAAGCTTTTTGTCACCTTGAGAGATTCCCTCGTGAGACATTTTTGTTTTCGTCGAAAAGGTCACCCCTACTTCCCCTCAGAGAATGGTCAAAAAATGATGGGGTGTGGGTAAGTGAAGAGAAGACCCACATCCTAAACCCTCACACCTAACCCCCATACACACCCATACCCACACCCACATCCTGAGAGCCTGTGTATAAGTACAATATAAACTGTAATGATGTATAAATAAGTATGAGTATTCCAGTTGATTAAAGTATAATAAAAACAATTGAAAAATTTGTATGTCGTTTTTTATCTCTACGATCAAAATTGAAATAATATATAGAAAATGTATAAATATTCAAGCTGAATATTATAGCATAGTAAAACGTTAACGATATATAAATTATCTTGAGTTTGTAGTAAAAGTTATAATGATGTGTGTTTTAAATGTGAGTATTTGGGTTGAGTAAACCTAGTAAAAATGTTTCAATGATATATATTGCTGTTTCTTTTTGTCTCTTTAGTCATTAAAGCATTAGTGAAGATGAGTATTATAATTGTCCAGAAAATGTTCTTGTCATATATGCCAATATTCAACAAAAGCGTTGTGATACTGATGATAAAAATATTGAAAAGAGACAGAGATCTTTTTTACTAAAATGACAACACTAATTGCTCTTCTCAACACTAAAGTAGTTAGGTTTTTTTCTTCACGGGTCAATGAGAAAGAAAAGATATACCCAAATCATCTCACATAAAAAAATAAGGTTATTTCTTGTCACGACTATAGTCACTTTTATCTTTAGCTCATGTTCGTATAGTTCTGCTTTTTTAATACTCTTTATCATCTTCGATTATTGATTCGTTATGTTTTCAAAAGGAATATCTGCTCATAAAATACGAACTATTATGCAAAAGGCTGCCATGTATCCGATGGATATAACTGAAATTTTCGATGAAAATATTTGTGTTGTGATAGACAACATTTGTTCCAGCAGCCAAACCCCACGTGAATATCTCATTACGATGTTGCTTCCTGCTATCGATCATTTCATTAATGGTAGTCAAATTCGAACTAATACCGGAACCCCAACAAATATTTCATTTTTTACAACCATCATTGAATATCCGAGTGTAAACAAATCCAGTGCAACAGAAGCAGTTTTGAATGCATGTCTTGCTATTGAAAAATATCTAGGTATAAAAACTGACGAGAGTCGAATCAATTATAGTGCTACTGTTGAATCACTCTTAATTGAATTAAAGAATACATCGCCTAGACTTATTCAAATTTGGGATGAGGCAGTTACTCTTCTACAGTCATTTGGTCTTTATAAACAAGGTGGTGCTGCATATGATCGATCAATCATGTGCACGTTGTACAACTCATCTGCTGTTGTTAAACGACAAACTAAATCAGGAAATATTACGGTCGAGAATCCTGTACTCAATATTGCTGCAGCTGCACATCCAGCCGATATTTTTTCTTCTGTATCTAATGAATCCGATGATGATGGTCTGATGACTCGTTTTCTCTTTTCTGCTCCTCAACCATGTATACCTTTATCTGATGAAATTAGATCACTCAACATCGATGTGCCGAGTCTTACTCATCTACTATACATTATATATTGTTGTAATGCAACAGAGCAAAATGATGGACGACGTAATGATGATGAAGATCAACGTATAATATATTCATATTCCGATGATGCACAAAAGGTATACTAGCTTTTATTGATAGCAGCTATTTTAGCTGAGCTATAAAGTTGACTTTCCAGTCACTAGAAAAAGAATAAGATAATAATTGAGTTATTGAGCAGCTATCTTAAGGCTATAAATAGTATTAAAAAATAAATGATGTTTTATCGTATATGACATTGTGTTCGGACAACATTTTTTTCTATAATCTGGATTTCTCATTTTATTTTATTTTAACGGATCATTAACAACGTTTTTGATGAGTATACTCTTCAAATTCGAGAAGCGTATGGAATCGATCAAGGTTTGGGATCAATTTTAGGTAAGGCAAAAGTATAAGTTAGCAGAATAGCTGGTGCGTTACATGCCACCTCCTTGGCTGCCGTTGTTTTTGATCAATTAATAAATGATGATTCGTTACCTGTTTATTATGACAAGAGCAAGGCGATATTTGATCTACTCAAACGAGTAGTGAGATGTTTCAAAGAGACACACAAATGGACGTAATCTCCGAAAACACTGCAAAAGCAGCTGTACTATTAATGAATCATTTTATAAATCAAAAAAATATATATACGAATCGTAAGTTCTCTTTGAGATATATCAAAATTTATCAAAGATCTCCAGAGTCATAAAAGTCCATATTTTTTTAATTCTCATAGTTTTAAGTCAGAGTTAAAATCGAATTATTAAAACAGATTTATGAAATTATGTTTTTTTCTCTCTTCCTATTTTCCTTTTCTCTTTCTCTCTTATTCTTCTCTTCCTTTTCCTCTTCATCTCTTTCTCTCTTATTCTTCTCTTCCTTTTCCTCTTCATCTCTTTCTCTCTACCTTCCTTCCTTTCTTTCTAATCTCTTCACACCTTTCTTCTGTTTTCTCACTTGTTTTCGCTTAGTACATCTATCCTTCATTGTTTCTGTCAATGACAACTCTTCTTTCTCGTGTCAGCTAATTAATATATACAAAGCGGTTATTGAATGTTACCGAGGTAACTACCGAAAATGTATAACAATGCGTCTATTCTCTAGCCCTAAAAAAAAACTACAAATGAACATTTTTCTTTTTGTAGAATTTTCTGGTATCTGACTCGATGCCTTTAATTACTTATGGTTTTGCAAATAACGTACTGCCATAGATGTTGAATTCATAAATGGTCTTCCAAAAAGAATTGCTTCTCACTCTCCATCCTATTTTTACACTATACACTATAGTATATTAATTAACATTTTATAATGTCATTTTTTCAGGTCCAGTGCATGAAACTTTAGATGAAATGCGACAACGATTTGCTCAGCAAAAAGATAAACAAGAACGAATAGACAAAAACCAAGCAATATTGGCTGAATCTCGGCGATCAAAAACATCAGCACGGTCGGAAGACGGAAATGAACAGAGATATCCTGAAAAGGTTATCTTACTAGCTAGGGATACAAAAATGCCATGGATCAATATAAGCCTAAATCATGGAGGGTTTAAAGCAGCTACACTTCATCAAACTGCAGCTAATTTTTCAAAATGAACGACCTGGTATGTTAGTAACGTAAAAAGCAAATAGAAAAGAATGACAAACACAAAAATAAATATTTCAACATAGGAGGAAAAGTCAACGAAAGATAACCACCATTGAGAAGAGAGCAAAAAAAAAGAAAAGTGAACATATTAATTTTGTCACTCACTCAACAGTAATGATTCATTGTAACATTATAAAAAAAGCCATATCAACTATCACAGAGCTTATTTCGTTATGATTGCCAAAGCAGATCGAGACTTAATGATTTAACTACATTTAAACGCACACCGATTCATTATTGTAGTTAATTTTAATTTGTTTTATATTCATATAGGATTCTCAACAAAGGAAAAAGCAAGTGGTGCTCACAGAGCAACAACGTACTTTTCCAAAGTACCAATCGATGCCAAATGTAATGCTGAACAAGTAGCTGCCTTCAGCAACAAATTAGGCAAGCTC